TTCGCCTGCGGGTGCCTTCTATGAAATTGGCTCCCCGCTTCATAGGTCCTTATCGTATACTGCATAAGGTTAATCCTGTTTCATACGCCTTGGGTCTTCCTAGGTATCTGCATATTCCTAATGTATTTCACACCTCGTTGTTGAAGCCTTACGTACGCAACCGCTATACCCGGCATTCTCCGCCTCCCCCTCCTGTCTCCGTGGAGGGTCATGAAGAATTCGAAGTCTCTGCTGTTCTTGACTCTCGTTACCTTAGGGGTCGACTTCAGTACTTTGTTATGGGCCTGAGGAGCGCAGTTGGATTTCAGCTGATGCTGTTCACGCTCCCCGCCTTGTGCGTTCTTACCATTCTCGTTTTCCTGACAGGCCTGGCCCTACCGGCGGGTAAGTACTGTAGCGTTACTTACCTTATCCAGGGGCTGGCCGCGGTCCTCTCTTCGAGAGGCTCATCCGACAGCTTCACTAGGAAGGCGGGCAGTGACCACGAGAAGCGGTCCCCAAGCCCCTAGTTACCCCCCCACCCAAAAAATTAATAAACCCCTACCTACCCCCCTCACCCTAAAAATAGTGAGGGGGGAACAAGAGAACTAAATACCTGTAAAAACTAAATAAAACTTATTATATGATGTCTTCTTTTTCCAGCCCCAAATAAAAGTCCATAATACCCTTCGCACTTTGAAAATAAAATAAAAAACCCAAGCACAAAAAAAATTACACTAAAAAATAATCCATCTTCACCCATGGAGGGCACAGTGCAGACATCAAAAAGCCACAGGCTGCTCACTGTTTACTAGACATGCCCCTACTCGCGGTATAGCGAGTAGGGGCAGAATTTACTAATACTAAGTAATCTTTACTTAGTATTAGTATATTTGGCTTAAGGGCCAATTTAGGTCTTTCAGGCTTTTGGTAGATAGCTCCCTGATACTGTGGGAATTAAAGAGTTATCTACTAAGCGGCTGCAAGATACAGCCGCGGCATGAATAGGATCGGAGTTTCATTCATTATAATTAAATTCTGATATGAACAAAGTCCCGAATTGCTCCTAACATGAACAAACTGTTCTCATTCTGTTAGGACGCAATTTGGTAGTTTTGCCGGGTTCTGTCTAAGTGACAGGTCGTTTGGGAATACTGACAGGAAGCATCGCGAGATCACGGATCAAAGGTAAGAATTGTGGGGAAATTACTTTGATCACCGGAAACGAAGCACACTTTGCTCCTCCGCTGGTCAAAGCTGGTCAAGCGTAGGAAACCTCCATAAGACAAGTAGTCCCTACGTTGTCTTATGTTTTAAAGAACACTAGAGCAAACCAGAAGAAATTAAGAACAGATCCTGACAGAGGGAGAGAAGAGGAATTGATTAAAGAAAGGTAAGTTCGGCGTGACAGTGCTGCTTTAACTTTGAAAAGGTTTGGGAATCCTGGACTGAAAGTGAGTACGTTGACTGACTGTAATATTACTTATTAAGAATTTACAGACTGTGCAGTGGGAACCCCCCTCTGTCTATCTCCGCCTTCCCCTTTTTAAAGGGGCAAGACATATCAGAAGGATTAAATCTAACGGCGACCATATTCTCTTTATTCTTCTCTATCTACTCTTTTCTCTTTCTTCTGGTCCTGTTTATTGTTTAACCTTGGTAGACTCCCTTACGAGGCCTTCTAGCCCTAGATGTTTTTAAAAGTAAATGAGGATACAGGTTTTTGAGAGATTCCTTACGTATAAATGTTGGGATCTTGGTCTGGCTGTCAGGACTCCTAGGAGACCCAACACGCAGGGTGTAATTGTCAGGGATCTTACCTGGAGTGGGAGTCCGACACGCAGAGTTGAGGCACCCTTTGCAATTCGACACAGACCGAGGGGACTCAGGACAGAAATCCCCAAGGCTGTGACACAGTGCACTGGGGCTGAAATAACCAGTGCTTCCTGGAACGCAGTACAGACAAGGATATCCAGAAGAGTAGTCAGTATCAGAATCAGAAGTCAGGACGGGCGGCAATCAGGCGAAAACAGTAGACGAGCAGGAGATCAAAAGCAGGAGTCAGATGAACAGCAGTGAAACCAAACAGGAACAGGAAACACGATCTGACAACGAGAACCAGCCTTGCGGGGTTTAAATAGGGAGTCTCAGCCAATCATCAAGGAACCAGGAACAGGTGTGCACATTCCAGGCATACAGGCTCAGACTACAGGATACCAAGAACAACCAGAAACAGTCAAAGATGCGTGGAGCTCAATGCAAGGATACCGACTGGGATGCAAGAAACTCAGGTTTGATCCCAGCCAGACCCAAATACACAATATTGTGTAAAGCACAATGGCGATCCTGACATTACCCCCCCTTCAAAGACGCCGTAGGCGAGAAGAGGAACGCAACTTACGACCCAGGAGGTTACTTTTTGGATTTCTTGGCTTTGGTGGTACTAGTAGGAGCAGAGGTCATAGCTTGTAGGGCCTTTTCAAATACTTGCAAGTCCTCCTTCCGGACTAGAGTCCCATTAGAGGCATAGGTACAGCCAGAAAGAGGGTCTTCCTTGACAGGACTTGTAGTGGTTGTGGTGCTTGCCTTCTTAGAAGCAGAATCTTTAGTAGAAATAGAGATCTCAGGTTCTTTAGTAACAGATTCCTGCACAACCTCAGGAGCAACGACTGTAGAAGGATGAGGATTGGACAGAGTGGTCAAGCAAGGACAGGCAGCATGTTGGCAGACAGGTCTCATAGGATATGCCAGAGTAGTACCCAGACGGAGAACCCGAGGCCTAGATGGACGAATGGGACAAAAAGATATTAAATGTCCCATCTCCCCACAATAATAACACAGTCCATGCGCCATCCTTCTTGCCCTTTCTTGAGATGACTGACGGAACCTAACCAGTCCAATCTCCATGGGTTCCTCCGCCTCCCTGCCAGATGTATACGATGTTTCGGGAGACTTGGGAGCGGTAGGGTTAGCTGTAACATCAGTCCGAGTGAAAGGAGTAGTGTAGTCCATTTCCAGTCCGGGTTGCAATATGTGTGAAGCAACAGTAGATGATCTATGTACATATGACTTTTGTGTCTTGTTGCATTGTAAACCCAGGGACCGAATAAAGGACTCCCAGGAATCTAGGACTGGGCTTTTGGCGAGTAACAACTGGTGGGCCCAGATCTTAAGGTGCCCCGACAATAAGGTAATCGCTGTCCTCACTTTAATGACGTCTGTGGCATAGGTAAGTGGTCTCAGGGAGAACAGGACCTCGCAATCAACTTTGAAGGTATCATACTTAGACCGGATCCCAGAAAATTTCTCGGGTAGAGCAACCAGCGGTTCAGAGAGTCCAGAGTCATAGGTTACTCTCCCTTTAAGGGAAGCCAGCTCCTGCTGTAAGCCCTGCAAAGCCTGGGTGAGCTGGGAAACTTGCTGGGTCAAGGCTGCAACGGTAATCTTCAACTCTGCAGACTCCATTTGGTCAGATCGTACTGTCAGGAATCTTACCTGGAGTGGGAGTCCGACACGCAGAGTTGAGGCACCCTTTGCAAATCGACACAGACCGAGGGGACTCAGGACAGAAATCCCCAAGGCTGTGACACAGTGCACTGGGGCTGAAATAACCAGTGCTTCCTGGAACGCAGTACAGACAAAGGATATCCAGAAGAGTAGTCAGTATCAGAATCAGAAGTCAGGACGGGCAGCAATCAGGCGAAAACAGTAGACGAGCAGGAGATCAAAAGCAGGAGTCAGATGAACAGCAGTGAAACCAAACAGGAACAGGAAACTCGATCTGACCACGAGAACCAGCCTTGCGGGGTTTAAATAGGGAGTCTCAGCCAATCATCAAGGAACCAGGAACAGGTGTGCACATTCCAGGTGTACAGGCTCAGACTACAGGATACCAAGAACAACCAGAAACAGTCAAAGATGCGTGGAGCTCAATGCAAGGATACCGACTGGGATGCAGGAAACTCAGGTTTGATCCCAGCCAGACCCAAATACACAATATTGTGTAAAGCACAATGGTGATCCTGACATGCCCTTGCCAAACAGTCCTATTTTTCCTCTCTCATTAGTTCATGTTCCCGCAACCCCAGGCATCTCTTTGACACCTTTAATTCTCTTCTTCGCCCCGCTGTGGCCACCCCCCAAACCAACCTTACTGCTGATAACTTTGCATGTTACTTCACTGACAAAATTGAACAGCTAAGGAAAGAATTCTCCCCTCCTTGCCTTTCTGTTTCTCAATCACACATAGATCATGCCTTTCCTACCCTTCAGACATTCTCCCCAGCCACTGACCAAGAGGTGGCTGCTCTTCTTTGCTCCTCTCGCCCCACCACTTGCCCGCTCGATCCTGTCCCATCTCACCTTATCAGATCTCTCTCCACTTGTCTCGTGCCTTCTCTAACACACATCTTAAACTGCTCGCTCTCTTCTGGCATCGTCCCTGCTGACCTTAAACATGCCACTGTAGTACCTATACTTAAAAAAACCATCCCTCGACCCGTCCACCCCCTCTAACTACCGTCCCATATCCCTGCTCCCTTTTTCCTCAAAGCTTCTGGAAAACTTGTCTTTACCCGTGTGTCTCATTTCCTCAATTCCAACTCTCTCCTTGACCCCCTTCAATCTGGCTTCCGCCCTCTCCACTCTACAGAGACTGCCCTTATCAAAGTTACTAACGACCTAATCGCAGCTAAATCCAAAGGCCACTACTCCATACTAATTCTTCTTGATCTCTCAGCGGCCTTTGACACCGTTGATCATGCTCTCCTTCTTCAAACTCTGCAATCGCTTGGTCTCTGTGACTCTGTCCTCTCATGGTTTTCCTCTTATCTCTCCCAACGCTCATTCAGTGTCTCTTTTTCTAATGATACCTCCTCCCCTCGCCCTGTCTCGGTTGGAGTCCCCCAAGGCTCCGTCCTTGGTCCCCTTCTATTTTCTCTTTATACTGCCTCTCTTGGCAAACTTATTACCTCATTTGGATTCCACTACCACCTGTACGCTGATGACACCCAGCTATATCTCTCCTCCCCAGACCTCTCCCCTGCTGTCCTGCAACGTGTCACTGCTTGCCTTTCTTCCATCTCTGACTGGATGTCCTCCCGCTTTCTGAAACTCAATCTCTCAAAAACTGAGCTCCTTGTCTTTCCTCCTCTTAATACTGATCCTCCTCTTTCGCTCTCCCTTCAAGTTTGTGGTACCAACATCAGCCCATCCTTGCAAGCGCGCTGTCTTGGCGTCATACTTGACTCTGGTCTCACCTTTGAGCCTCACATCCAGCATGTTGCCAAATCCTGTAGATTCCATCTTAAAAACATAGCCCGCATCCGCCCCTTTCTTGCACCAGATACTACCAAGGAGCTTGTCCGTGCTCTAGTAATTTCCCACATGGATTATTGTAACCCTCTCCTGTTTGGTCTTCCCAAAAGCCGTACTGCACCCCTACAGTCTGTAATGAACGCTGCTGTTAGACTGATTTTCCTCTCTAGTCGGTTCTCTCACACCTCACCCCTCTGCCAGTCCTTACATTGGCTTCCTGTGTGCTATAGGAGTCAATTCAAGGCACTAACTCACACCTATAAAGCACTGAACAACTCTAGCCCCTCTTATATCTCCTCACAGATCCATAGGTATGTCCCTTCTCGGTCTCTCCGCTCTGCCCGTGACCACCTCCTGTCCGTTGTCCGCACCTGTACGGCCATCTCGCGCTTGCAGGACTTCTCACGGGCGGCTCCCTTCCTATGGCATAGCCTGCCTCCCGCCATTAGACTCTCCCCTAGTCTTGCATCTTTTAAGAAGTGCCTTAAAACCCATCTCTTTAGGAAAGCTTATGGCCTTCAAGACTAACCCCTACCTCACATACCTGTCTCTTGCCCTCTCCTAAAGGGCAGCCCACCTTATTTGATTGCAAATTCCTGTCCTAATGTGTTTTACACCCCACCTCCTATAGAATGTAAGCGCGATTGAGCAGGGTCTTCTTCAACCTATTGTTCCTGTAAGTTTATTTGTTATTGTCCTATTTATAGTTAAATCCCCTCTCATAATATTGTAAAGCGCTACGGAATCTGTTGGCGCTATATAAATGGCAATAATAATAATAATAATAATAATTTAGTTTCCTATCTCTGCCTCACTCCACAAACAGTGCCACCTACTGGCCGGCGCCGGTATTGCACTGTATTCTCAATCTGAAAATAAAAATACAGGCACAAGCTGAAAAATCCAGGGGGTGGGGAGTGCCCCTCTTACCTCTTCACTGTGGATGCCCATGCCAATTATCTTGTTCTTTTGGTTGTGTGCATGGTTCTGGCTGTACACAGTACTCATGTGAGCAGTTGTATACCCACCAAGGCCATTAGGACCCAATTGCACTTCAATGTGGAAAAAATAATTGTCTTTTTGTGAGAAGTGACAATTCTTCATTAACTTTGATATAAGCATCAAGTACAAACAGAAAAAAAACTATAACACTCTAAAAAGCTTTCTGATATTTTCACACAAAAAATGGTTATATTTGTTCAAATATATGCTTTTAAATATTAAACATGCTGGATATAATGAGAGACAGTTCATGTTTTACTTATGTTTATGTACAGTCCTAAGTACAGCTTGCAATTAAATTGTGTATGGTTTATTTACAGATAGCTTAAGGCAATGCATTTAAAAAAGCAAACTTAATGTCTACAACAATTTGACATACTTTAAATACAATCAGAGGTAAAGACGGGTCATTTCATATCATCATTCATCTTCTCTCTGAAGATTGAATCATTGTAGAAAGCTACAAGGTAATGCCCTGACATTAAAAGGGTGACGATTAATCAGAAAACAGTACAATTAACAGTTTCTTTGTTAATCAAATCCACAGTGTATTAATGGAATAGCTACTCTTGTGTTTGATCACCTATTTGATATGCCAAAGTACCTATGATTTCTTAACACACAAGGGCTTTGAGTGACAAAGTATTTCAGTGATTCTTAAGGTAACATTTAAATCTAGCATTCTGTTTACTAGCACACAACGTGAAAGCATAGCAGATGTTAAATCTGCCTATGGATCAGTGTGTTGGCGAAATACACAAACATGTTTACACAGCAAACACATCAATGACTTTGAAAGCTAATCATTGTTTACTCAACACATATAAGTCAATGACATGCAAATTAAATGTCAACATCATTTTTCAAAAATAAAGTTAAATGCTGAAATTGC